CAGGCTTCAGAGCTGTTATACTTAGGGTTGTTATGAGTCGCAGACGACTTGACAGCACATAACAACAAAATTATTATCGCACAAATAAGCTATTGCTGAATCTTCCTTCAACTCTTTTTCATACAATCTTGCTTCTCAAATTATTTGCTTAGTGTGCAAACTGAATAGGTATGGAGAAAGGATAAAATCATAATACACACATCTCTAATTTTGAACAATGTTCAAAATGAAACATTGTTAACGAAAACAATGCAATATTCTGTTGTTCTGTTTGTAAAACTGCTTCTTAGAGTCTTAGAGAGGTTTCGTATCAGCACAATTAGATGTTTGATAGTTTAATTTTTCTCAATATTAGCCATAATTTGTTATGGTTTGTACAAATGTTTTTGCATAGTCAGTGAAACACAAGTAAGCAATTCTAGAATAGTTGGCTTTTAGTCATGATCTATCTGACACCAGCAATGACATTACTGTCACTACAGCTTCTTCTAAATCCAGCTTGATTTTGTAATAGTTCTCTGTCAATGTACTGTTTCACCCATTTATTAATAATATTCAGGAAAAATTTTACTTCCCAGTGATATTAATAATATTGTTCAATATTTCCATAGTCTATCAGATCTATTTTTTTAAATGGGAATAATATGGATCTTTTGCAATAAATTGACTCTTCCAAGTATTTGTCTTCCAAATTTCTTGGCATAGATTATTAGGCATATCCAGGGCTGTGCCTGTTGTTTGAAACATGTAAGTTGATGCTCCATCAATTCCGAGGATTTTATTTTTTCCAATAGTGCAGTTTGAAATTCTCCTTCCATTACAACTGGGTTTGAAATTCTTCTTTCATTACAACATTTTGTTAATAGGTAATTTCCTTAAATGGGTCATAGTTGACCAATTCTTTTTGTTACAATGACTGTGTATTCCTTTCATTTTCTTTTGATGCTTCTTACATCATTCAAGACTTTTTTCTTTCAGTGTTTCAACTCAAGGCTTTAATATATTCTTCACTTCTTTCAGCTTGAGAAATGTTGAGCATGCTCTTTCTTTTTAATTTCTAATGTTAGCTGTGTGCACATTTAACTATAACATTTTGCTTTGTCTTCTTGAGCTACTAAATTGAATCTTCTGTTCATCTATTTAACTGCAGCATTTCTTCCCTTTATTTTCTTCTCCTTATGCTTAAAATGCACATGATCAAGTCCAGGATATTTTCAGTGTTTTACTATGCATCTGAAAGTTGGACAATGAGTAAGGATGATAGATAATAATTGATGCCTTTGAATGGCAGTGTTGGGAAAGAGTACTTGTAAAAGAAGCCAAAATGCTGTGGGGGTGGCCAAATCTGACTTCTGCCTGCTGCATAAAGGGGGAAACTTCTCATTAATACTATCTATAATTGCAAAAAGATGACTGCTTGGTCACACATGCCACTCCTTATGCTCCTGCACCTATCTCCACCAGTCACTAGGTTCGATTTTTGTTGTTGATTAATAGACTTTGTTCACTGTTGTGGTACCAAGAGTGAGGTTTATTAAAGAAATAATTTGGGGCATAGGAAAGGCAAAGAATATCTCACAATGCAAGTCTAAGTTTAATACAGCAGTCCCAGGCCAGAATAACAGCAAAACAATTCCTTAATGAGTAAAAATCCTGGCTTCAGCTCAGCAATACAAATTCAAGAAGCCTTTGCTGTCCTCAATCATCCAGCAAAGTTTTCCTCAGGATAATTATAAATCAGCTTTTCCTTCAATCATCCAGACAGAAAAGCAAAACCTTTAACTGTGGCCATTATCTCAGAAGTCCTCTGGTTACTCTCTGCTACAGTTTCTCCACTACAATGCCACAGTCTCTCAATCATCATCACTGGAGTGACACGACCAGGGTCTCGCTCTCACCAGGGTCTTGCTCCAGTATCCCTCAAGTGTTGCTGCACGGATTGGGAAGATCTCTCTTTTTTCCTATTTCCACAGCTGTTGATGATTTGCAAAACAATGCGTCTTCAGTTAAGGTAGCTGGAGACTGTTGGGGGCTAACATAATGGCTAGAAAAGGCAACTTTTAGGCCAATACTGCAGTAGTGATATCCCATGGGCTGCCAAAAAATTAAGTCTGTCTTGGGGGAAGTGCAACCAAGATGCTCTTTAGAAGCCAGAATAGTGAAACTTAATCATATATACTTTGATCATGTTGTCAGGAGTCCTTGAAAAAAGACTGGAAAAGTTTGAATGCCAGAAAGAGAAGAAGATCCTCAACAGCATGAACTGACACAGGGACTATAACAGTGAGCATACTGGAGCATATTGAAGCATAATGGAGATTGTGAGAAAAGTATACGTTGTATTTAATTCAACAGGTAACAAAACCATGTAAGGCAATAACTCTGTCACTGAAACACCAATATCTTTGCATGCATTTTGGCTGTTTTGAGTCATTTTATGTTCTCACTGTCTGATAGACTAAAATTTTTCTTCCCCAAACTATAAATCTTAACAGGAAATCATTACTGGAGATTTTTTTCTTACTGATCCACTATCTGTTATGAACCACTCATCTTTCACATCTTTTAGTTAGGGCTTAGGCATTGCATCACCTGCATGTCCTGATTTATTGTTTATATCCTGATTTTGCATATGAAGAAACTGACGCATTGGAAAATCATGATCTCTTTAATCCAGACACCTTCTCTGGAAAAAAAAAACCTTTATGAATCATAGCAGAAGTGAAACAACTTTAAATGTAAAATCTCCAGGCACAAATTCACAGGGTTTTTTGGCTGTCTTTGCGATATCTACGCCTCATATATTGCTTATGTGAATAAAGTATGTGATGTACAAAGATAACTAATGCCTAGTGGACATCGGAGGTTAACATATTTCACAATCATAAAATGGTGGTTTCCTAGACAGAACAGCTTTGTTTGTTTGTTTGTTTGTTTTTTCACTTCTCAATCCAATGTGTAACAACACTTAATTAAAAACATGAAGAATAGAAGAAAAAGGATTAAAAAATTAATCTTCTCCCCACCACAGTTCTCTCTGCTACTCAGCCCTCTCTTCTATTCTACTTTTCCCCTCTCCAGAAGGAGATACCATTCCTAGTCTCTTTACTCTCTGCATATTAATTTGGAAACAAATGGGAATATATTCTACTTAGTGACTTAATAAATTAAGGTCACAGCTATAAAAAGAATCTCAGAAATGTGTTCCTAGTTAATAATATAATTTAATCTCCCAAAGCCCAAATCATACATTTCAGAAAGTTTGTTTATCTTTGATGCATCTCAATTTTGTTAACCACCTCTTGGCAGTGTTCAGTATTTATTGTTCTTTTTGGTTAAGATATGATTGGGTTACTTTGAAAAGCACGAAGTACAATACAAGTGAGAAGAATGAATTCATTTCTTACCAATTGGGAATTGAGCCCCTGGGTGCTCTGAGCTCAAGTCAAGCCTCACCCCTAGTCTCCCTGGCAGAACCACTCCATTTTCAATTTATGATACTTTACTCAAGCCCTGACTTGGAGAACTATAAGAGGAACAGGAGAAGAGGAAGAAGTAATTTAGGCAACACTGTTCAGTATCTGAACCAACAACCAACATGTGGCCTGACCCTGAGCAGAGATGCTATAAAAATGTAATTTTCCTTTAATCTCTCCATGTAAATCATCAGAAAGCTTCCCTCTACAGATTCAAACAAATTTGATCTCTAACCTCAGAACTGTCCTCAACAACTCTTTCATGTGATTGCAATATTTACTGCTTGATTGTATCAACTATTATAAAATGCAAAATTATTTCACCATAGATCTTCACATAAAGTCATATGTTCAAATTCATAATCACAGGACCGTTACTCCACAAAAATACAGTAGAATGAAAAATTAAATTAACCAGAAAATATACTTTATTGTAACAATATGTGGTGGGCAATGGAGTTATGATTTGTTGTATTGTTCAAATATTGAAGCATCTGTCAACCTGCTACCTTTAAAGTCCACTGCCATGGAACTGCTGCTAATGCAGAGACCCTATGATCACACTAAAGGGTTTTGAGGCTATAAATCTTTACAGAAGAAGATGGTCCCAATTTTCTTCAGTGAAACAACTGGGGGAGTTGAACTACCAATCCCTTGGTTAGTAGCCAAGTGCTTATTCATTGCACCACTGGGATTATTTCTGTTTTCTTTAGTAAATTCAAAAGACCTCCAATAAATACTAAATACTTGAAACTATTCTCATGTGTATAAAAGGATTTGGGGAGGAGTATCTGTTATTTCTTTTAATTTATAAAAACAGATCAGTGAATTATCATAAACTTATCAATTCTTTAGTGATGTCCATATATTTAAGTCTGATAGTTTTAGGAT